AAAAAAAAAAAAAAAAAAAAAAGGCATTTAAGCATTCAGAATTTGAAAATTTGGCCACATACAAGTTTCTTTGCTCAGAGGAATCTACATATACAGACTTAGCATTATCATTCTCATTCTAAATGCTTTTTTCCTAGCACTTAAAACAGAGGACAAACAATATGCAGAAGAAAGAAAGCTACACTGGCCTTTTAAAAATTACAGAACAAAAAATATTTCTCTTGATTTTGTTTGCTTCTACTTTAAAGTGTTTACATGGAAGTTTAGTAAAAATGACAACTTTACATAAATAAAGTAATTAAGGTTTGATCACCAGTAAGGGTGATGGGTCACTGGACCAGGCCACCTAGAGAGGCTGTGGAGTCTATTGACAATCAGGCAGCCAAGGCCTTGAATAACCCCTTCTAGTTGATGCTCCTTCAAGAAGGGGATCAGAGACCCCCAGGTCCCTTCCAACCTCAACTGCTCCATGAATCTATGTTTTTTTTGGTATTGCCCAAGCAAAGGTTCAAAGTTTTCATCACCAAGTTGCAACTCTGTTGTCTTAATTTGAGACAACATTTCATAAAATTCATTAGTATATCTTCTATGGTTGCAGCGTCAACAAAGTCCTTATCCACACAACTAAAGTTTCCCTCTAAGACTGCATTTTGAAGATGCAGTTTTTCCTCCAACAGGCTAGCTTTTATTTCTTCCTAAAAAGTAAATATGCGAACCATTCTAAATACTGACAAAGCATTTATTTTCTTACATAAGAAAATAACATAGTTGGTTGTCAGCTTGGCTGCCAGTCACAGATGTTAGCAAAAAATAATCAGAGATTGACCTGGAATGCATCCAGACATCATTAGCAAGTTAATATTCATATTACGAGCATACGGAGATTGAAAACAAAGACCACTCCGAAAGCTCAGGCTGAAGTCAGAATTCTTGATCTAATTCCAACATTCATTTTCTGCTTCAAGGTACTACAGGGAGTGAGAACAAGAAAGCTTATCCCACTCATTAATACAGATTTTGCAGTCTTTTTCAACACAGCAATGAATGGTAGTTTACAAACTGTAATACTTGACTCTTTTCAGAGGAGCAGCCAGCATCATTCTCACCAAGACCCATGTATGCTGAGCATAATAGTTGAGATCATTAACTATACAAGTTTTAAATGTAAGACACGCGTTTAATGACAATTTCTTTTTTATTTAAAAAAAAAATTGCGAAGCCAGCTAATGTGAACAGGAAGCTCTTTTTTCTTCTTTTAATAGAAATGCCTTCAACCACATGAAACAAAAAAAAAAATCTGAACAGTTAACAAAAAAAAAATCAGTCATTTTTTAGTTTTATTAAGCTAACCTCAGTAAGAAGTGTTATTTACTAATGCAGGTAGCACTGAAGTTCTTCTATTTGAACCGTTTGTGTGGTCAATCAACCAGCACTTAAACTTTTATTTGATGTAAAGTCATGGGACACGGAATTAAAGCAAACTAAAAAAACCCCAAAGCATTACAACTCCATGCCTTTATATCTTGATGTAAGACATTCAATATCCTCCAGAATTTCTGGGTTCTTCTCTGCCACAAGAAGCAGGCACAATACAGTTCTCGCATCTTAACCATACAGATATTTCAACCAAGAGCTAAACAACTGAACTATTTACAACCGTTGATGGAAACAGCTTTTTCTGCATCACCCAGTAATTAAAAAAGTGAAAATAACTGTCAATACTGTCAAATCTAGAATGTCTTATTCTAGAGCAACTTTTACTCCTTTACAGCAAGCTCAACTTAACTTTCCGTGGACCAATTGGCCTATCATTCAGTTCATTGATAGCAGCCATAGCTTCCTCATAGTTTGTCATAGCAACGATGGCATCACCTGAAGGTAATCCTTGTTCATTATACTGTACAGAAACTGACTCTGGTATGACTCTGTAGCCATAGAAAAAATCCAGAATCTCATTAGGAGTAGCTTTAAAAGGTAGATTTTTCAATCGAATAGGAACAACGCGTTCAGAACCACCACTGAAATTTGGATCCGGCATAAATCTTCCTTCAGGAAAATTCCCCATTTTATTATTCCCAAACTCCATTCTGCCAAAAGGTTCACCGTCCCCACCGAAATCCATGAGGGGTGGCGGACCTCTAAAATCCTTAGGAGGGCACATGAAGTCCTCAGGGGGGTGCCTAAATTCAGAAGGATGCCTGAAGTTCCCAGGGGGACCAAATGAATGCATGGGTGGCCCTTGTGGTGGCCCAGATGGTGAACCAACTGGCCGGGAAAGGTCACCTCTGTCATACGGATGTGAATGACCCTGAATTTCATTTGGTGCAGACAACGGTACATTTACACCAAACTTCTGCATCTGCTCTTCAGATATAAGTCTTATTAATACCTCTGTTCCCAAGAACCTTCGACGATTTAAATTTTCTGCTTTCATGGCTTGTTCTTCAGATTTAAACTTCACTAATGCTTCTCCCAGCCCAACTCCTTTGTCATCATAGAGCAAGTAAATATCATCTTCATCAATATCAAATCTTGCAAAGAACTTTTGCACTTCAATTTTTGACACATCAAATGGAAAATTCCTTACATAAACACACATCTTAGGGCCGGAATGACCTTCCCGGTAACCTTTGTCTGGTATGGCCTGTCCAGGATGATCTCTGTCCTGCGATCTTTTCCTCTCACAAGAATCAATTATTTTCAACATTGACTTTTTTGAAATTGGAAAAATGTAAACAGGACGGTTGAGAAGAACCTTCCTATGACATTCCAAAGCAGCCTGATAATCTCTCTCGCTCCTCAACATCACAAAGGCATCTCTAGTCCTCCTCTGATGCTTATCTGTTAGAAGCTTGATTTGTTTGCTGCATATATCCAGATCAGGAAAAAAAGCTCTCAAATCTCTCTTCTCCACGTTAGTAGACAGATTTCTTAAGTGTATGTAATACTCCTGGCTGGGAGGTGAACGAGAACGTGTTCTTTGTCTCCTTGGGGATCTCGAATGAGAATGCTTCCTTGAATGCATGTAACCTGAACTTCTTGGGGACCGGTCTTCGCCGAAAAAACGATCCATTTCATTTGGCATGTCTACCCTGCCACCATATTCAATCCACCGTTCCTCTGTAGATGGGCTAATTTCTATGAACCTCGGACCCATGTATTGTCTGTGACGTTTAAGTCCTTCTAAGGCATCACCAGGCGTGGCAAATTTTACCAAGCAATCACCATTGTTTAAACCATTGCGATGCTTTATCAGAATCACTCCATCCACATGTATCCCAGAAAGGAAAGCACGTACTTCATCTTCCGTTGCAGAGTAAGGTATACCACGGAGAAATAAATAAAGATCATCTGGGTTAAACGGATGAGAATCCTTTCTTGACTGATAGCTCGATTTAGGCATACCTATATCACCATGTCTCGTGCCATTGGTATGGAAACCAGCCTCCGGATGATTTGGTGGACCATAACCAGGTTTACTTATTCCTTTTGGAAAAGCCGGGACTAAATGTGGAACGTCTCCAACACCCGATGCACCAGAACCATTAGCACCTGTTCTTCTAGAGCCAGACATAGTTTCTCGCCCCCCTCGGTCAAAGCGTTTCCGGCTCATTTCTATGGTACTCTGCATCTCTGCCTTGCTGCTGAGAAACAGCTCTATGCGCGAGTCCTTGATAAACCCTCCTGAACAGCTCATGGCACGCCGTGCATCTTCATCTGTTGCAAATATAATAAAAGCCTCCCCAATCTCTCCTCCAATAATATGAACACCTCCATCAGGAATATTCAATCCCAAGAAGAAACGACGAATATCTGGAGGACCCGCAACAACAGGAAGCCCCTGTAAACGGATGACTACAGCCATGCTGAGCTCAACCCACAGCAAAAATCACCTGCAGACAAAAAGGTACACATGATAGCACGTCTTTAGTACTCAGCTATTACAGTATCTTAACACTTAAGAAGCTAGAGCCTTTTTAATGAATGTCCTTGTCTCAATCAAGAGAGAAGGTACTGAAACCCCCACAAGGTCACAAGAACAAGATTAAAACAAGATTCACTGAAAGTTGATTAGTCAAACTATTTGCTACTCCACCAGCACACGTGCACAAGCCTATCGATTCCCTGTCCTAAGGGCAACAAAATCCACCTAAGTCATTCCTCACCATCCATGATACCTAAAGAACACCTAAAGCCTTTCACGGCATAGTTACTGTATGCCAGAGACCTCTGCCCAGTCCTAAGGAATAATAACAAAAATATTTAAAAAATTCCTGTTTACTTTTGAACAGGACATGTGATCGTAGCACAGAAAATACTAGGTGATAAAATGAGAAAGGAAAAAGGATAACTACGTCACTGGAGGATGAAGTAATTCACCAACAGTGATGACTCTACTGCTTTGACAAGTTGCTCTACCCAGTGACCAGTTCTGTTCAATAACACACGTTTTCTCAGCGTTCAAAAATCTTGTCTCTTTCACGTAGTCAGAGCATTAGCTGCAGCAGCCACATGCACTCAGGAGAGCATCTCCTACTTCCCAGCCACGAGTCTGAGAGAAAAAAAACGCCTTGCATGATCTTGTCACAATACTCAGTGAGAAGTGTTAAGCTTTTTGCAGCTTACCTGTTTCTGCTTTGAAGACCTGATAAATTCTGTAAAATCAACTTAACTGTGGAAAGAAAACGAAACATAATTAATGGCTGATATCTGTACTTCACTTTACATACTGTGCTACACTGCTGCAGCTCATCCATAGCCGTGGCTAATCGTAAAGCCAAGCAGGTAATGAACCCACAATCTGGGCTGCTATGAAGAACTCCTTCCATGTTCCAAGACGCTATGCACCGCATTTTTGTGTTTCCATTTTAGAAGGAAAAGAAACTCAAGATTTAAAGTTGACTTCTGGAAATGATGAAAACACGATGAGATTACTTGGTCATCGATTGTGCCATACTGAACTGTTGAAATGAAACAGCCTGACAGTATATCGAGGGAAAAACTCTCAATTCAAGTCTTTTGAGTCCTTGAAAGGTCCGTAAGTCCATCTCAAGATTACAGGATGTGTCCATTCTTCTAAAATCCACCTGCTTTGAAAGTTCACAACGAGTATGCTACCCACCACTCCAGCACTGCACTTACAGTGCACTTCACTCACAGTGAAGACTATCAAATGGAAGAGCAAAAATATCCAACACAGAGAAACTTCAGGGAGTACTTCAATTTATTTTCCCTATATGTTTACTGCCTTTCAAAGCTAAGAACAAGAATCACTTTAGTACACTGTCCTGGCTTAAATATATCCTCATCTTCAACATTATCTAACATCACACAATACACAGCACAGAACTCAGAACAAACACAAGCTTCCCTAGCAAATGACTACATTCCTTAAAAAAAAAAACAACAAACAAACACAAACAAGAGCCCAACTCTCCAATAACAAGCATCTGAGAATATCCCTTGTACAAATCCCTTGCTCAATAACAAAGTCCTGGATCCTGATGCCAAGCCATCTATTGATCACAGTAACTATCACTCCACCTGAGCTTAGCAAACCAAGAGCAAAGCCCAAATTCTGTAACTAATGGATTCTACATCACTTCTACATCAGCACTTTGTAAACACAAACAACCAAAAACAACCGCCTATTTAATACCTGCACTAAGGACCATCTGTTCTCTAATTTTGTGGTGGGTTGACCCCAGTCAGCAGCCAAGCACCCACAGGGGTGATCATTCACTCCTCATTCCCACCAGCCCGGATGGGGAAGAAAATATGAACAAAGCCAAGAAAACTTGTGGGTAAAGATAAGGACAGTTTAATCCATGAAGAGAAAAGATGAAATAAAGGAAATCATTCACCACTTCCCACAGGCTAACCGATGCCCAGCCTGCCTCTGAACAACCATCTTAGAAGCCAGTAAAAAAAATCGCCTCAAAAAACCCTAAAACAATCAAATAAAAACCACCTTCTTCCTCTACCTCATTTCTTTGTTGCTGAGCATGATGTTACATGGCATGGAACATCCCTTTGGTCAGTTTGGGTCAGCTGTCCCGGCTGTATCCCCTCACAGCTCCTTGCCTACTCCCAGGATACTCACCGGGGTGGCAGAGTGGGGAAAAAAAAAAAAAAAAAGAGAAAGCCTTGAGCTCTGCAAGAAGCCAAAACACTGATGTGTTGTCAACACTCTTTTATAGCCACATTTCCAAAACAAAGCACCGCAGGGGCTGCTGTGAAGAACGTTAACTCCATCCCAGCCAGACCCAGTACACTTTGTAATGTATCTTCTCAAGAGGTGTGACGGCAATGCCAAAAAGCAAGGAGAATGCAAGGGCAGAATTTTCTTACAGGACCTTCATGTCTTGAAAAATCAAATCCGCTGCCCTGCTACTCCGTGGTGTATTTAATCTGTAGTATTTCTGAATTTCACAACTCTGCATTCTTATCCCAATTTTTTAACAGCATTCAGAACAGAGCTCCTCAGTACTTCTTCGGTGATAAATGGCAAGTTCTCCACGATTTACCATGGATACACCATACAGCCTTCAGTGGTGAACACTAGACAAAGTGATTCCAGATCATAATGTGCTATTTAAGAAGTCCACAAACAGAAATGCAAGTTCAAGTAATAAGCTTTTACTGACTGTATAGTCAGTAACATCATATGTAACAGGAACCGTAGACGAGCCATCCAACAATTAAAAGTGAATGACCTAAAACGGTGACTTTTGGGGATGAAAGAGCCACATAAATCTATTCATTAACTGAGCAAGGACTTCAGAGAGCAAAGATTTAGATAATAAATAGATTGACAACTTCAAGCCACCAATTTAAAAGCACAGAAGTGCGCACACGCCTTTTAAGAACTTCTATATTTCAACTGACACCACTAAAAGACAGAACTATACCTATACTTCCACAGCGTCTGCAAGTTCCAAAAAGTATTAAAACTTCACGAAAGAAAAACAAATAAACAAATAAATTTGCAAACATTGTCGAAAACTAAGCCTCCACTAGACTAGTATTTTTACCCCAACACTGGAAGACTGCATGCAGTGAGCGTGCAGGCTAGAAAGAACACCCCCACGCACCCCAACTACAAAACTGCGTCAATATGAGAACATGAGAAGAATTTCTTATGCTAATCTTCTTCAAAGCCAGCCTTGGCAGTCGAAGTGAGCTATTACTCGTGCCAGTTTTCACACAGCTGGCGGAGGACGCGGGTGAGCTCTGCAGCAGGGCCGCCCGCACGGCCACCATGAGCGCGGGGCCGCCTCCGAGCGGGAGAAAGCCCCGGCACCGGCCCTTAACACCGCTCCGACCGCGGACGGAGCAGCCCAAGCCCGGGAGGGCCGAGCGGGCGGGCGAGACGGGGGCGCAGGGAGCGAGGGGACGCGGGTCGGGGGGAGAGGCCGCTCCGCCTTGTGATCCGACCCCCGCGGAAAAGCCCACCCTCCCCCGAGCACCGGGACAGGGCCGGAGGGAGCGCCGGGGAGGGAAGGGTGGCGCGGAGCCAGGCGGTAAGAGGAGGCCGCGGCCGGGGGAACGGCCGCGCAGCGGTTCCGCGAGGGCTGGGGCTGCCGAGAACCGGCTGAGGGCGGGAACCCCGCGCCCTTTGGTTACACGCAGCGCCCCGGGGGAGCCGGTCGCTCATCCCTCACGCCATCCACCCACCGGACAGGCCACCAGGAGAGGCTGGGCGGCGAAGCCCCGCTGCCCGCGGCTCCCGGCACGGCACCACCAAGATGGCGTCCCCCGTCGCTCCCCCCCCTCACGGCGCTCGGGGGAGAGGCCGCACTGCGCCTGCGCGACCCCTTCCCCTCCGCCTCGACCCGCGCCAAGTCCTTCCGGCCATCGCGCGCCCCGCCAGCAGCCCCCCCTGCTGCTTTGCGCCGTCTCACGCCCGGTTCCCGCCCCCTGCGCATGCCCCATCCAGCCTGGCCTTGAACACCCCCAGGGAAGGAGCATCCACAGCTTCTCTGGGCGACCTGTTCCAGTGCCTCAGTACCCTCAGAGAAAAGAATTTCTTCCTAAAACCTACTATAAATCTCCCCTCTTTCAGTTTAAATCTGTTACCTCTTGGACCTATTGCTCCACTCCCTGATAAAGAGTCGTACCCTCAGAGAAAAGAATTTCTTCCTAAAACCTACTATAAATCTCCCCTCTTTCAGTTTAAATCTGTTACCTCTTGGACCTATTGCTCCACTCCCTGATAAAGAGTCCCTCCCCATCTCTCCTGGAGCCTCTTTAGGGACTGGAAGGCCGCCATAAGTTCTTCCTGGAGCCTTCTCCAGGCTGAACAACCCTAACTCTCTCAACCTGTCCGCACAGGAGAGGTGCTCTAGCCCCCTGAGCATCTTCACAGCCCTCCCTCGGACCCACTCCAACAGGTCCATGTCCTTCCCGTGCTGAGGACTCCAGAGCTGGACGCAGTTCTCCAGGTGGGGTCCCACCAGAGCGCAGCAGAGGGGCAGAACCACCTCCACGACCTGCTGGCCACGCTTCTTTTGATGCAGCCCAGGATGCGGTTGGCTTTCTGGGCTGCCAGAGTGCATTACTGGCTCGTGTCGAGCTTCTCATCCGTCAACACCCCCAAGTCCTTCCCAGGGCTGCTCTCAGTCCCGTTATCCTGTATTTGTGTTTGGAATTGCCCGGTCTGTGCGTGGGGTTGCTGCCCCCCCCTCGCCGCCCCGAACGCTTCGCCTCCTGCGCTGGCCGCTGGCACTTGCCGTACCCAGAGGCGACTGACCAATCAGGGCGCGCCGCCGGAGGCCGCGGGTAGCCATGGCGACGCCATGGCGCTGGGGCGCCGCTGCCGCCGCGCTGCTCCTGGCCATGGCGGCGTTCCCGCCCGCCCGCGCCTTCTCCCTCCCGCTCCAGCGACCCGCCGACTGCGGCGCCGCCCGCTACTTCGACATCTCCCGCCTGGCCTGCGGGCCCTGCGGGGCCCACCAGCGACAGAGCGCCGGCGGTGAGCGACCCGGCCGTGCCGGGCTGGGGGGAGGCCGGGCGGTCCCCGGGGCCGTGCGGGGCCGGCGGAGCTCGGGGTGAGGTGTCGGATCCGCGCCGAGATCCGCCCTCCGGCAGCGGGAGGTGCAAAACCTGGGCTCGGGTTTTGACCGGTAAAAGATCTGGCCTCGGGGGCGGTTGTGAAAAGGCAGCGAAACGGGCCGGGATCCTGTAAAGACATAAATGGCCACAGCACAAGTTTGGTGCCTCCATCTGAGAGGCATCCCAGGGAAACGTCTGCACACCTGTTTTTTTATAATCTTTCTTCCCTCAAGCATTTGTATGGCTATCGGTGTTCACACCTTCATCAGTAAAGTTCCATAGGGCCCTGAATTTGTACTCTCAAACACTTTCATAACTTGAAACTCCTTGTTGAAACCTGAGTGTCTGAGATGTTAAGTATCTGAGATCTTCAGGCTGCGCTTGTGCTAATCCAAGTCCCATGTGGGAACCTGCAGCACACGAGACACCTTGACAGTACTAAATGAAGAATACAGATGATAGTCGGCTTTCTTTAGGAGATAAAATGGTTTGAGAGTGTCCATCTTTTCTAAATACACAGCCCAAGAGAAGTGGGAGTTCGCTACAAGAAAGAAATTTGAGATACTAAGACCCAACAGCATCTCTCTTCAGAACTGGGACCTCGGTCAGATGCGGTGATCTGGATGGCTGTGTTCACAGCTGCTGCGTAGAAGCTGGTCACTTCTCTCACTGCCATCACAGTGTCTTAAAAGAGTAACCCCATAGTTTGCTTACAGAAAAAAAGCACTGTAATAGTTTTCAGACCCCCAGATGTCAGTGTCTAGAGCCATAACTCCCTTTTAGGCTTGAATCTTCATCTAACTCAAGGGTTTCAGAGAGAGATAAATTCCAGGGGGAGGTCAGGGATTTAATTTTTTCCTCAGCATCTGACTGGAGCAGTGTAGGTGGCTGCCATTCAGTCTGCTATTTGCATCTTGTCTGAATTCCCCTTGGGATTGCACAAGTCTGCACATGCACTCCATAGTTAGCTCCTCAGCGTGGATTCTGCTTTCAAGCAATCTGCCTAAAAATTTAGGTACCATCACAGCAAATGTCACACCTCGAGTCTCTTTGTTGATCTGATCCCACTGGGCTTTTTCTTCCGTATAATTAATGAATGGTTGATCATTTGGACCAATGTTTCTGTAAAACTGGTGTCGTGACGATGTACTTTAAGGTTATAAACATTTTCACAGAATTTTACATGAATTTTACATGCACAGTTGAATAAGCTTAAATAATAATAAATACAGTTTATTAGTGTATAGAATCAATTTTGGTCTTGGTATGTGTGCAAAAATGTGAAGAGAGGTCCATGATAGTGAGACTGAAGAAGTTTCTGAAAGAAAAGTTATGCCATGAAAGTAGTGTTTACTTTAAGTTCATACTAGATGTTAAGTATGTTTTGTTATTCACTGAAAACCATTCAATGTAAAGCTTCACCCCCATGCCCAATTTTAAAAGCTTTGAGTTTAAAATAGCTTTGCAAACAACAGTTATATTTTGAAAAACCTTTGCATATAAACTTGTTTTGATTTTAGGACTGACTTCCTAGTCAAAGGATAAGAACTGTCTACAAACATATAATGCTGGTGTTGTAGGGAGTGATAAGACAGGGATAGGAGTGTCTTTACAAACAGGGGAGTTAGCTGAAAATGCAGAATTTAGGTAACTGAAAAACCACAGAAGTTGAAGTTTTCACCTTTTGAGTTTAGTACGCATGCTTGATAAGCTTATGAATATTAATTTCTCTGCCTCCAGGTGGCATAAAGGTAGAGTTAATGATACACGCGACGTATGATATGTACGATGTGAGGGAGGGGTACATGCTAGAGGAAAATATGAAGTAGGCGGGTCAGGGAGTACCTTCCAAGTAACTCGGGGAATGGGGAAAGGAAAAGGGTCATGTGAGGCCAGGGAGTTACCATAAAAAGGAGGCTGTGTCCTCTGGCAATGTTGAGACACCCCACAGGGGTATGTCCCAGTGGACTCTCCCTTTATTCGAATAAAGTTAACTATTTCCAGGACTCCTCTGTCTCCTTTGTGAACACCGACGTCTGGCAACAAGATTTTCTGCATAAGAGGATGGGCTAAGAATAGCTCTGTGGTAAGATTTAGAGGGAGAGATTACATCTGTTATTAAACCAATCAATACAGTTTGGTTTAAAAAAAACCCACAAAAACACAAGCATGAGGTTCCAGTTCTGCCCTGGTGTAACAGTCAGCCTAGTAACGTTTTCTAAACCATCGCTGTACAAACTGTGACATGAACATTTTTTAAAAAGCAAGATGGTCTTTGTGCACATCTCACTCAGATGTTTGATTTGTCTATCTAGTAATTGATATCGATCTCTTCAGAAGAATAGCAGTTGCTCTTAGTATTCTATGGAAAAAGAAAAAAGTGAATTTTATATAGATTAAAAGTGTATTTGATTTTTTTTTCAGGCAGTTCATGTGTATGTCAGCCAGGGTACAGGATGGTTTCTAGTAATGGTGGGTCCTCCATTATTTGTGAAAAATGCCCAGAAAATATGGTTAGTATTGAACTTTTCCTACTTTGCCATAATAATAACGCTTTTTTAATTTTAAATTTCCTCCTGACTGCTAGTTATTTTTCATTAATTTAAAATTATCTTGCATAATATTCTTTGCTTGGGAATTTTTAGGACTGTGCTTATAGGTAGTAATTTTTTTCTCTTTAGAAGTGTATATTACTATTATTTTGCAGGCATTTTTTCATTGTAAATTTGACCCCACAGACAAAGAAAGAGTATTTTAAATGTTTAATTTCCTTCCACTGCTTTTCTTTTCTACTTCATGTTATGTTATCCTTGCCCAGAGAACACAGTTTTATAGAATGCCAAACATGCTTTTCAACTCATAGGTATCTTTGATTTATAAATCCTATTATTTTAATACTTAGGCTTTATCTTCGTAGTCCCTGATACTTAATCTTTTTACTTCAAAATGAGCTGTTGGTATTATGTTACTTTAGTTACATATAACTTTGTAGTTTGGTCAGGTCTTTCTACCTTCCTGGAGAAATTAAGCTATAATTTTGGGTCATATTCAGAGCTTTTTACCACTATAGTAAATAGAGAAGTAATTTTTCTCCAGCAAATCCAAGTTTTCATGGTGAAAGCCTTCCTGAATACTTCTTTCTCTCCAGTAACTGTAGAACTGTTAAGAGACCAGATAGTTGTGTAAGTTACGTGTTTAATGGCTAATGTAGTAATTTTCCTTCTCTTTCCATTTTCATGCTACATTAGACAGAGACATTGACAAATATCCATACATCCATTGGTGTTGAGATCATTCTGCTGTTTCTTTCTCTTTCCTGTAATGGTGGCATTTGTCTTTGATCCTATGGCAAAGTGGAGAAGGGAATAACATCAGTATCACCTGAGGATGAGCAGTTACCTTCATTTTCCTCATCGGTTTTAGTCTGTAGTGCAGCTACTTCATAATATAAAGTGTGAATATACAGATGTGAACTGTTTGAGTACATACAAAATTCCCTGCAGTTAAATAAGCTGCTTCACTTAAAACTCCTCCATTTCCATTACTTCTATATATTTATATGCAAATATGTGTATTTATGCATTGTTATGTGTATTGATTTTTTTTTCTCCTGGTGTAGAACCTCTATATCTTTTTTTTTTTTTTTTAAACCTTCCACTTTTATTAACTCTTATCTTCACTTAAGTGTGTTAGCTAATGGTTCAGAAAAACTTAAGAACACGTTTTTTTAGTCTTTGTCTGCGTAGGAATTACTTTTTCCAGATCTTTAGCCTTTTTTGTTTTCAATACTTCATGAATGTTATCGATGTTGTTGTATCTGAACACGTTTTCTAGTAAATAACGTCTGGATCAGACATTCTTTGCAGATATTTGGTGATGTCTTTATTTTTGCAAATTGTATAGTTTTACATTTTATTTTAGAGTGGAGTTACTCAAGATGGGTGGAATTGTATTACTTGCCCTAAAGGCCTAAATTCAGAAGGAAAATGTAAATGCCTCCATAATGAAATACTAGGTAAGGACTATACACAAGTTATGAGACATTAGTCCTTATTTTAGAGTTATTTGAGTTTATTAAGGCATGCTCTTCTGTTCAATAAGAAAGGAGAATTAACATATGTTTATGTATCTAATGTAAAAATTCACATTCCTCTTGACCTTAAACCTCATTCCTGAAAGACAGCAGATAAATCTGTACTGTTGTTTACTGCAATAAAAACTATTATGCAAGCATTGAAAAAATGAGTGCTGGTGTGTCACTTCCTTTCAGCTGGTTGATACTGGGTGGAGGAAAAACCAGTAAAATGTTTTGAAGGATATAGTGCACAGGTATTTCACAGTATGGGAATTATACACATATGAGAAGGTAGAACAGAATAGCCTGAGTGAGCCAAGCAAACTGCTGTGTGTTAGTATCAGTAAATTTCATGCCTCCCTGAGACACATTCCAATTTTTGTGATTCCCTGCGTCATCTTTCCCTATATCTGTGCCTCTTACTTAATGCTCTCTAACAGTTGCAGATTAATTTCAGTCGACACAGAGAATTAATTTTAATATTAACTTGAGTGTCTGTGTTAACTATATTTTTGCTTGTCTTGCATAGTAATAAACTAAGAGCAAAGTATAACTTTCATTAAGGCTGTAAAACAGAAGAGCTCTTGGGACATCTAGTTTTCCTTGTTTTCAAAGACATAGGATGGAAAAGACTTTCTGTGTGCCTGGAATTCTTTGAATAAGTATTACTCACGTCCACTTTGGTTACGTATCCAGCCGGCTCTACTGGAGAATCACTGGTTTCCAGATCATTAATTTAAAAGGAATCTGTAAAAGAGTAAACACCAAATCAGCTCCCTTAAACTTTATGAGAGTTACAAAATACATCTTGAGCATTTATGGTAAAATATTTTTTTACCATAAGAGAAAGCAAACATGCAGAAAGAACATTAGTATTGTAGTTATTTTGATCTTCTTTGTATCGCCTTTTTTTTTTTTTTTTTTTTTAACAATTAGACTTGAAGTTTCCTGCCAAATTATTTAATTGCTTGGAACTTTGAATTCGTAGCATTTACATTAATCATTTCAAATTGAAATTAAAAATATTTTTTTGCCAGTACTTTGCAAACTTGGTATTTTGACTTTTAGGTTTGCAGTGAAGCTTTAGTTTGAAATTTGGTTCAGAATAGATAAGAAAGGAACAGCAAGACTGGATGTGAAATATTGCATTTCTCATTAAAACTAGAGTGTATGTGCATAGCTATAAACAATTCATATGTACATATATCTATGTACATTTATAGTGGATGTTATTTGCAAGTTGTGCTCTTGATTATTTTTTTTAAAATAAAATCTTTGCACTTATGTTAGATCTGCGTAGACACTATTTTTTCACACTTTTCTTAGCCTGTGTGACATACTGTGCATCATGCAATTTTATCACAGTTGCTTTTCTTTTTGACTTAGTGGAAAGAAGTATCGAGGGCGTTTTGCTTAACGAAGCATTATGCCTACGTTGCAATGGAAGTGAGCAATCCTTCTCTGCTTCAGACTCGGCAGGAAATAGGTGAGTGTTCTTTGCCTTTTGTGATGGTAAATTTGAAGGGGTCCTGTTCTCTTTAAATGGAATAGGCTCAGAGGAGCAGTCTGTGTCGTGGAGATGACACTTTTAAAAGCAGTGAATTGGAAATCCTCAATCCCATATCAAACTCAAAATGTTTGCTGTTCACTGAAGTCCTTCTATGACCATTGATTTGTTTGTTTTCCTTTGGTGTGACTAAAAAGCAGGCAGAAAAAGAATTCTTATTTTGATAACTGACTATTTCTTTTCTACTTCACTGTCAATAGAAACAAATCAGTAATGTCTTTTGGATTTTAGTCCAAACTAGTGAAGGTGCTAACAGTGTTATCAGAATTACTGCATAATCAGTATTCACTAAGTACTAAATCTCATACTTAACTACATTTAAAGGGCATTCTTCATATTTGTGATCCATAGGTGTGTAAGGTGTGAGCAAACATTCATCAATGCAAGCAAGTCTTGTGACTGCAGCAGCCCAAACATTTTAGTAAGTAGAAGAATGCTTATTATACTGAAGCTCAAAAAAAAAAAAAAAGTTATATTGACAAATGTATAAATTTCTATTTTTTTTATTTCTGTTTTTTTTTTTTTTTTTCAGACTGGGGGATTGTGTTTCAGTGCCAGCGACAATTTACCACCAAAGGGAGTTGCAACTGTTCGTTTTGGACAGCTAGTAAGTGTGTTCAGTCTTAAAACATTTTCAGGCTATCTTGTTACTTACTTTCAGTAAGTCTTTTAAATTCCATTCCAAAAAAACAAAGGTGGTGGTTTGTTGTTTGGTCACAGTGATTGCAAACTAATTTGCATCAAGATAGAGTGTAGACATGTAGACCAGGCAAGCATTGTTCTAATGGAATATGTTTAAGAAAATTCATGCCCTTTTGGAAACTGAAAAAGGGAAGTAATTAATATTAATTTAGTCTCAAAACAGGTAGTATGTGCTCTACTGTATTAATTGTATGTATTTAAAACACACACTCATGTGACAAAAACACTGAAGAGTTCATGAGAGCCTCTGGGCTTTTTAAATTTTTTTCTTTTTACTATGTAAAGTCGTATTCATATAAAATATTTCAAAGAAGATATAAAGACTGACAGAACATTTTTAGTTGCCAGAAAGAGCTGATTAAAGAAACAGACACCTATATAATTTGAGGCAGTGAATAAAATTGTCTAACTCCTTGAATTGGCTAATGATTTAAAATACATTCAAATGTTTGGCTAATGAACTTGTATTAGTTGTGAAATCTGTTTGAAGTTAGGACCATTTTCCATGTAGCTCTGAATTCAGGAAATGCTATATGGCCTATAAATGTAGTTTGTTCTGAAATGAATTAAAGACTACTGCTTGAATGAAAGCAAAAAACAGTCTTCAGTTTTCCTGACAACAAATACTGACCTGGCTTTCTGAAAATGCACTCTTCTAAATAGTATTTTATTGAAACCATGGCTTTTCAGGTGCTTACAGTATGTATGAAAGTTATGTTTATTTCAAATATGAGTAGCTATAAAAAGCAGGTTGTGAAATAATTAATATGTCAAATTTGGTCCTGAGTTAAATTTACTACCTGGTCAATACCTTACCCTTGAAATCATTAATACATCCCTTGTGCAGGAAAGAAAACTCCTTTGTCACAGAATCCATATTCAAAAGTTAAATATTTCTGCTCTCAACTTAGCAAAATGAAACAAATTAATGCATTATGGTTGTGTTTTGAACTGAGCTGGTTTGATTTAGACATTTACAAAAGACAGAAAGCTCTTAGAAAAAAGTAAGTAGCATCTTTTAGGTGACATAGATTTCCAGACTGTTACGTTATGGACAAATTGTTCTGATCAAAGACAGTGAATTATTTCCTTATGTACAGGGTCTAACACTGACATCAGCATGGTTTCTGAAAAACCTGCAATCTTCAGCCTCTGCCTGTTGGGTGAGTTTCATTAATGTTTGCAGTTTGCTTTTTTATATAGAAGCGATACTCTATAAAAACATGGCGCTTTAGTTTTCGGAAGTTAGCTTGCTTATTTTTAAAGAATCTTATTTTGAGATGGCAGTAAATAAGAAAAATATATATACAGAATGTTTAGAAAAGGTCATGTTTGTGGCTGCTCCCATCACTGCCTCATACACACAGCTCTGAGACGGAATCTCCTACCTGTCCCATTCATTTTTACAAACTGGGACTATCCTCATGACTTACTGAAGTTTATCCTGTTTGTCCATGTCAGCCTGCTCAGCTCTTCAGAGGTGCTGCTTGAATGTAACATCCAACTGCTGATCTGACCCACACAATGGGTGTTGGCAAGTTAACTCTAGTGCAGTGGTCACTGCACGCAGATGCCAGCCATCATGTCTATCTATCACCTGGCAGTGACCAATAGTATAAATACAACATCATTTAGGAACAGCAGAAAATAAAAACTACTAAAACTGAAGATATTTATGATACCTGCAACTGTAGTTGTCAGTCTTAGGTCTTTGATGGAGTCATCTTTGTCATACAGCCTAAGTAGTGTTGAACATTTTGATTCATACTTCATTTTCTGAAGTCACATCATACCATCTAGCTGATGCAACTAAAATAAACTGAAAAAGTGAGAGCACTGATTTCATGCCGCCATCTGCAGACCTATAAAAATACAGAATCTGAATAGCTGGAAGCAGATATTAGGTGGTGTCAAAACTAAATTACTTTTAAGTAAAAATGAAGGTCTAAGAGCGGCTTATTAAAGATGACATTTAGTTTTATGACTGCCTCACCAAAAGGAGGGGTAAATGAATGCTTTTCTATGTTCTTGTTTTTCTCCACTGCAGTTGTACTCCAATCTAACAGCATGCCAAGCTCTTGGAAATATGTGTGTCATGAATATGAACTCGTTGAGTTCTTCAGTTACTGATGCCTGTGGTTTATTTCAGTATATTTATGTCAACACAGCAAGGCTAGGCATTGTTCATTCAATAGCCTACTGGTAAGTTGCCTTTTCCACAACTTTGCTCTTTAATAGTGTTTTATGGAAATTATTTTTCTAAATGTTCGTTCCTGCAAAACAATATGCTTCTTTACAGAAAACATTGTAATTGTTTTCAGGAGACATAATCTTCCGTGGCTCTATTATGGTGATCAACCAGGATTAGCATCCCAAGTGCTTGAGGCAAATCATTTCCCTACAATCTTCAGTTTTAAAGGAACAGACAAGGTAGGTGTTGGGTAGTAGACAGGGGGAAACAGACATTTGGAAGAGGACATGGTCACATAAAGAGATTTAGATTCATTGCAGATGTGGCCTTACGGTCTCATACCCACATTCTCATAAGGCCAAGATGTGCTTGCCTGAGTGGTCTGACCAGGACACAAGGAACAAGGGATGCCAGCTATTAAGTTCTCATTATGTCCCAAGATTCTCCTGGATTGGCAGTGATGAACTAGTACTCAGAGAAATCTTTTATACCCCTTAGGAGTTAATAGTTGTTTTGGCATTGTCCTTTGCTTCAGAGTCTTGTTTCTTTCAGTCTCCATAAATCTGGAGGAGAGTATTTTTCCCATGTTTGAGATATATACATCCTTTTCGGTTTTCCTGGTGAGCTAATTGGAAAAAGAGGGGGATATGTAATGTACTGTAACTTTGCTGCCATTCTCCTGGTGCCAAGGTACATGATCTTTTGCTGACAAGTTGTCTGTGCCATGGTTTTGTCAGAACCCATTTCTCAGCTTTATTGCTGGGAACAGTGTTCTTCATTATTGCTGTGTGGTGTTTAACCCTTTCCTTCTGTCGCTTCTATTGCTTACAAACACATATCTATCCACACTTCGGATATTCCAACCTTAATATCTCTGTTATAAATCTCTACAAGTTGAATTGATTCAGTCTGTTACTCCAGTCTTTTCCTGTTCTTGTAGTGAATTAGGGGGAAAAAGAAAGGGGTGAGGAAAAACAGCCATTTCAGTGTTAACAAAGCCATCCCTGGGAGGGATGGACTGCTTAAGTAGCTGTTAACTGCCACAGTTCTAAGAAGGAATCAAACAGTAAATCAAACAATAAAGTGCTATATTTTACAGATTCATTGTAAAATTGGAGTAACTGGAATAGTTTATACAGGTTAAGCTAATCACAGAAAATAAGTAGTGCTAGTGATAACCTGCTTGTAGGTTCTGCTGCCAAATTTATCTTAAATTTTCTTATTGATTCAGAAATAGTTTTTTTGCAGCCATATTCTACATGGTCGTGTTTTAAATTAAACAATGTTGCAATGCAGCTTCTGTTTTAACAACTAAAATACTCATTATTCTTCCTAACACTGAAGGTCCTGGAAGCCCTCAATATCCCAGCCTGGTATACAGTAGAAATCTGTGTAGATTTCTGATTAATTTAGGCCATGTCTACCTGTATAGAAATTCCTTTGGAACTTTTTCCACATCACCAATGAGGCTGTAGAATTGTAAAATGTGTTTTTTTTTAAAAAGTAAACTACCAAACCCAAGATTAAAAACATAAAAGTCAAAGGGAAGAAAAGAAGCATCATGCTGAAAGTTTTAGGGAAGCATCAAAAAATGAGACAGCGGTCTCTAAAATGTGTGTGTCCACTTTATGGCAGTTTCATTGTTTCTTTATCTTTTTTCGTCATCAGGACGTAAAGCTGCAATTTATTGCAGCCTCATTTGATGCAGCAGGAAACTTTCTTAAGTGGCAAAATTTGGAAGGAGGCATCTTACAGGTACGTTTTATTTTAATTATCTTCTGGTGATACCATAACGTTCTGATTGCCTTTAGCCAAATGAAGACAAAACCCAAGAGTTTGGTTACTGCAGTAGTGAGTTCATAAAATAACCGTAGAGCTAGATTAGAGAAAATAACCCTTGATTCTTGCTCACGGTGATCTCTACAAAATCATAAATATAAATTCAGCAACATTGTTCTCATCCATTGGATCAATATAAATTTGGAATATTGGAAAGCTCTGAAAAACAGCACAAGTCATTTAGAACCAACTGTCTCTTTCTTCCATTCAGCGTACAGTTACACATGTATGTAATTTATTACTAGCCCTCTTTTTCCTGGCAAGAAAAGTATATTCTTTTAGCTCTCAGTCCACTTAAGTTTATAGAAAATTATAGGAGTATATCCCTATTGGATGTTGTCACCCATTTTCACAAATAATGGAGAAGCCAAGCAAACCAATGATTATTTCACTATCAAGAGAGGTGGGAAAACTGATCTACCACCCCATTTTCTTTCAGTTCTCTTGGGATTTTTTGTTTGTTTATTTCTTTTGGTTTTAATATAAATTAAACACTTTGCCAGTATCTACCTGGCTTTTTCATAACAGAAAGTTATAAAAACTCACTGGGAGACTTTATATAGAATTGGAGAACACTGACTAGAGGATTCACAGTACCCTCGGACACTTTACCCTGATATTTCAGTGCCACACAAATGTCCTAATTCAACAGTACCTTGCTGTATTGGGTACAAACAACACAAGAAAGAAACAAGTGGAAAGTGCAATAGTAATTAGCCTAACAGCAGAAATTGGTAGCTGTGAAACATGTTGCAGAGCAGAACTTGATTAGCAGTCCAGTGGTGATCTAAGCACTCTCAGCAATTCCTAGGCAGGGAACAATAGGAACACTGGCAAGAACAATTGGGAATTATCTGTCCCCTTTTCTAGGCTCTTCATGTCACTCTTGGGTCACATCAGATGCTCCAGTATCTACAGAAGAGCAGCTGACATTCAGGGTTTAGACAGTGACTGCTGTTTCTTTTGTTGTTGTCTCAGGATGAACTGTCTTTCATCTGCCTCTCAAATTTTAAGAAAAACTCGTATCTGAGAAAACAGATTACTAAGCCACTGCACAGAAAATGAGATATTCTGACCTAGGTTTATTGGGACACATTCATTTCCTAAATGCAGAGCTTTTAGTAGTAGCTTTTAAAAAATCAATGGGAAAGGAATAGCTTTTCCATTCAAAGCCTCTTTTTATGTAGTAGATTGTGATGATTAGACATCGCAGTGCATAATTTTAGCAATTACCAGAATTTCAGTTGCACACTAATAGAATTGTTCTATGTAAATTTCGACTTGATTTTCATTCTGGGAAATGGCTATGCCCTCCATTTCTAAGCATCATGCTCACTTAGTTTGAGTTTGGCCCATTTTTCTGGGTTCTGCCTAGAACTACTTGTTCTTTGCAGAAGATGTAGAAGTTACATTGAAAACGGAAAAAATAAATCTGTTATTTGCCATGATAACTTTGATCCTCTGAGAATGCTAGCTTAAGAGAAAGGGGGCAATGTGAGTGTGGAGTTCTTTTTTTAGGGCATTCTTGAATTTAGCAGAAGCCACTAGTAAAGCTTGAGGTACCACAGTGCCTTGAACATTCAGTCCCCAGAAAGGTTATTATTGCCTGGTTAGATGCCGCTGTCTGCAGATTTCAACTTCAGTGATGGAAACAAAATGTACTATGCCAGTATGAATAAGCTAAAATAACATTTTAAAACCACCAGTATTAGTACAACAAATAATTGTGTTTACTCTTCAAAATCAATTCCTCTCTTCTTAGAAAACAGAACAAAATATCTTTTGTGAGAACTGTGAATACATAAACTGCTTGGAGTGCCTGTGAATATTTCATGTGAGAAAATGATACCTTGGAATTAACCTAATTATAATTATGTTTTGTTCAGCTTTGTCCTGATACCCAAACTAAATTGAATGCAGCTTATGCATTTGGAACCACTTACCAACAAAGTGTAAGTAAGAGATAAAATGCTATTCTGAATTTTGAATTAAGTTGTTTTATCATCAGTAATTCAGTGAGTACTGAAAGACCTCTGGAGTTTAGCCATGGGCTGCAACATGGACTTCTTTCTTGTGGAACTTCCTCATTTTAATTTCTTTATGATTGAGTGAAATAAATGTGGTTTTTGAGAAACATTTGACTATACATCACAAAACGTGTTTACTACATAGGATAATCAAAATAAATTGAACTGGGGTTTGTATTAGTGAGGCTGCAGAGTTATCAGTGGAAGAACACAGTGTCTGGATTCTGACAGCCATATATTTTGCATTGTAACTTCTAACCTCATTGTAACCTCACCAGGTTTCCTATGGAAAGAAGGCATATGCAATCATGCCATGCCTGTGTGGTGTCCCCATTAACTCTGATGTATTCCCTGATTTCAGTGAATTCAATAACGACACTGAATGCAAGTTTTAATTGAGCAGATGACAGAGGAAAGAGATTCTTTAGCTGCCTTAACTATAAAACCTGTTGGGAGTTTTCACACCTTACTGAACACCAGGAAAGGGAGAGGGGATAGAACACTTGATCTTCTGTCTACTTAGATGCTAATTTCAGCCAGCCACAGGCACAGTTCTGCCAGCAATAAAGCCTCAGTAATTTTTATCATTTAAGTGTTAAATGTGGAGGTGGAGGTCTCTTTGGTGGGGGGATGGAGAAATAACATCTTTATTTTTGTAAGACTCCATATGTGTGCAGCATCTAGTACCTGTATATCCATTAATATCATTTATTAACTCGTCTACATTCAAAACCATTCCCCACATTATGTGTTGAAGTGTAAAAATATATGAACTCTGGCTACTATTTGAATGGTGTGAAAGTCTTGTACTGTAATAGCTGTCAAAGCTTTAGTCCTTGAACACTAAATTGTTTATCAAATAATTTTGACAAATCTTTGTTAAATATTTTTACTCCTCATATCATTTAATGTTGTTTAATCCATATTTCAGTAGAAAGGGAACTTATTTTCTATTTAGGATCATTAAAGTGGTTGAGTATGGTTATTCTTTTTTTTTTTTGTACTTTAAAAAGTCTTATGTATCACTATATCTTATTTGACATATTGAATATGTAGAACCTGTTTTTAAGTATTAACAACGGTTAATATTACTGGGCTTAAATACAAATACCAGTAAATACTAACTTACTAAGTATTTTTTAATGTAATCGTTTTCATGGATTGTTTGCCATCACTTTCTTTTTTCCCCACCATGTTTCATATAACACGGTGGATGCATTATATGAGTATTTAAAGTCTGCATGGTTGTTCACATACGCAAAAAACTACTTACTTTCACATTTAATTTCTTCACTCAATCACAGGCAGGGACCTCTGGAGGTCACCTAGTCCAACCCCTTGCTCAAGCAGGACCACCTAGACCACATTGACCAGGTCCTTGTCCAGACAACTTTTGAGTATCTCCAAGGAGTGAGACTCCAAAACCTCCCTGGGCAACCTGTGCCAGTGCTCGGTCACCCTCACAGTGAAGAAGTGCTTCCTGATGCTCAGAGGGAACCTCCCATTTCAGTTTGTGCCTGTTGCTCCTGGTCCTATCACTGGGCACCGCTGAGAAGAGCCAGGCTCTGTCTTGTACACCCTCCCATCAGATATTTGTACACATTGATAAGATCCCCCCTGAGCCTTCTCATCTCCAAGCAAAACAGTCCCAGCTCTCTCAGCCTTTCCTCATAGGAGAGATGCTCCAATCCCTTCATCATCTTAGTGCCCTGCTTTGGACTATCTCAAGTAGCTCCATTTCTTTCTTGTCCTGGTGGGCCCAGAACCAGACAGATTACTCTGTGACTTTAGCCTTTATGTTTCTGGACTTTAGTGTTTATGATGTCATAAATTTTATGTCTATGAAATTTGCTGGGATTTTTTTTCCCCAATCTGTCGAAAAATGTTAGCAGAGCTTCATTCTCCACACCAGTCCTTCTAGTCAATTGCAATAATTTCCAAGAGGTTTGTATAAAATCATTAGTACTTTGTAATTGCTTGCAAATAGCTGGAATGTCTTGTCTTGTAAGTGGGACAGATTCCACAATAATTTTGTAGGGGAAGAATCCACAGCTTGATAAAATATTAAGTGGCTAAAGTGATCTTTTTATTTTAACTTTTTTTATTTCTTGTAGTGCGAAATTCCAGTTTCCAAGATTTTGCTGGATTTTGCTAATCCAATCTTTTATGACCTGTTCCTTGAATATAATGGCAACAACGGACAACAGTATCTTTGGGCCGTGCCGGTTTTAAACTTGAATCTTCAATACAGTGAAATGTTTGTTAATCAAGGTAAGACTGCCATAGTAACCTTTCTGTGAATTTAAATAATCTGACTAACTTCAAATAGAAAGAATTTGTGTTAATTACTGTTACTAACTTGTTTTCAAAGATACCACAACACACCATAACTTGTTTATGTTCTAAGAATTTAGTGTTCTGTGGGCAAATTGTGATAGTGTTAAGTGCAGACTTTGGTTGCATACACAAGCCCAATCAATAATAAGCACAAACAAAGCAATCTAATTTCATTATGTATTTGTTTAAGTTGAAAATAAACAATTTTACATCCTATATACAGTTCTGTGTATTAACTCTAGTAACTTCATTCTTTTGTGTGTTGAATTAGTTTTTTTAATACGTGACTGTCATGTTTTTTCAAAGGCAGTAACATGAACAACTGGCTTTTGACTCGTCGATTTTTTTTGGTGGATGCACTGAGTGGAAAAGAGAACGACTTGGGAAAACTACCAAGAGTGATTCGGGTTGCTAGCAAAATAACAATAAGGTGATTAATTGCATATAATACATACATTACACAGAAAATAAAGCAAATTTTGTGTTGTCAGCATTTTATTGTCTTAAAAGGAAGTTGTTTTATTATGTTGTTTCTAATATGTCCCATGCTGATTTTTCCATGGCATACTTGGAAATAGCAAGAGTTTCCTTACGCTGTTTTGATGAGTGAGTGAGAAAACATGACATTGCCTTGTAGGGGTTAAAATTACGGTGATTACTTTCTGGGTGCGATGGATCAGACTCGATATGCATGATGCAAGTTGGCAGGCATTCAGTCACCTCTTAGAGGCAGGTGTCATCTGGAAAGACCTAAAACCTCCTCTGTTAATTCTTTTTCGATGTGTACATTGCTGACTATACAAGGATGCTATTTCATACTCCATACTCTTTTTTTGCAGTATTTTTACAAACTATTGCCTATTCTGTTATACAATCCAGAATAGGCTTGTAGTCATTTAACTGAAATTGTGAGACTACCTGTTAGGGTCATTACTGATGGTTAATCTCAGCTGCAATATGTTTTGAAAGAACCTTTGTTTTCTCCTTCTTTATATAATGCCTTCCTCTGAGATGGCTGTCTAAAAATTGAGATCTCCCTTCTTATTCGGCGCTTCTTCACAATTTATTAGTGAAACAGATTGCTAAGTAGCACTGAGTATTGATTCGTAGAACTAATCGTCTGGAAGATTAATTTAATGTGCTAACTCCATTTGCTGAGAATTGCATATTACATTATTTAAAAAGAAATAAGGATTAGCTTATGTATCTTTAGAGAATCCCCTCGCACTCCCCCTTTGAAAAAAGGATAATGCCAGAAATTCAAAATACACATAGAAAAGGTCATTCTGTAATGTTTTGAGAAAAGTTACCTTTTGGATCGATTTCAATTGCAGCTATCATAATGTGAGCATTAGGTAAAGATTGATGTAGGTATTTTATTACAAATAAGCAATGCTTCCCAGCTTTTTGTTTTTATATAACTGTGTACGGTCTGCTGGCTTTTAAAATGTGAATTGCCACATCACTGGGTTTGAAACTCACATTTTATTGATCAGCTTGTTGTGTTCATTTAGTATTTTCTTATTAGTACAAGTTTCAATTAATACTTTCCAAGCAACTCGTCCATTTTCTTTATTAAAAACAATGCTTTCTATTTCTGCAGTATTCGTCTGGTATCCCACACTCAGAGAGGAATGATCTACCCTCCTCTACTTACTGTTGCTTACACAGATGTGCTTGTCCAAAACCCTGACACCCAGAGTGTGATGGTGAGATCTTTGTGCTATCTTAATTGAACTGGTCTGTTAATCACACCTTTAGTTCTGTTGGAATTCCAGTTGAGTGAACATTATTGGAGGGGTTATTAAAATCTCATATGCAGTTTCTAGTTCTGCTCAGTTTTGAAGCTGCAAGTTTTCACTAAAACTTAAAAGCAGTTAAAAGTAATTTGAGTCTTTTAACTTAAAATGCTTAGAATTTTACAGTCCGTTGTATAATGCTAAATTAGGCTACAGTTGAAATAAAATTATGCACACAGGAAAAGTACTCTATGTAATGCACTGAAAGCAGCAATTTATGCAAGAAATTGAATATTTTTATTTAAAGTGATGCATTAAGTGGAGGTTGTTATGACACAGGCATTTCAGGTCTTGTATAGTTTAAGTTAAAATATTGATAATATATCTAAAACATCCTTTAGTGTTTTGTCTGCTGTGTATTATTTTACAACACATCTCTAAGAATTAAAGTAAAATAATCCAAAAATCTGTAGCCAGAGGGGTTGGAGATTAGTCTGGAGGATCTGTCTTTACTGAAAGCCACCAAATTTTGCTGCAGCAGATGTAGGAGAGGCATTTCCTACTAGCCCTTTTGCCTGCCACGATGGGCAGCAGCTCAGATGTCCCTTTCTATGCCTTGTTGGTTAGTTAGATCACACAGCTTTAAAAAGGGAACATATTGAGCGTAATAGTGTAAAATAATCATGCTGCTATTAAAAAAAATATAATATTAACAATTTCTGCTTATCAACCTTCAACAGTTCAGTCTTCCAGTACACATAGACATCTAGATAGAAATTTCTGGTGCTAGGACCATTCCTTGCATTCCATATTAGCTGCATGAAAGGAAAAAAGGGACAGGGAATTAGAAAGACAGAAAAAATTAGTCAGACACTTCTTCCCTGCCTGAATGATGTCTGTATCTAGCCACAGAAACAGCATTGGTTTTAGAAAATAATTCGTTCAAATGGCAATGACAGGAACAATTGTTTTCAGTTTCTCTATTTCCTGTTCCACTATTTCACCCTTACATCTACACCTGATGTACTTAGATGTTGTCAATTTTAGATGTTTTGTTGCATTTAACAAATTTTATGCACTTAAAAAGATTCATTGAATTTCATTCCAAGTTCTATAGCACTGAGCTGCTAGTAAATGAGTGTATTTAGATTTAAATCCAAGTGAGGAGGTAGAATGAACTCTGACAGGAATGAGTGTTTTGGGAAGCCAAGGGGGGAAGGATTGGTTTGGGGGGATTTTGTCCCTTTTTAAAGCTGAATTAAAAATACTATTCATTATCATAGTTGTGTTAACTTTAGCCTTGCAGTGACAAAGAATCAGACTAGAATGTTATAAAACCAAGACACATGTTTTGTCTTCCTTGTACAAATCCTTCGGACCAAAGTTCAAAAGAGGTTTTAGGTTAGCTAGATATTTAAGCTAGAGGGAGCAACTTCAATGCCACGTGACAATTTTTATTTCATTCAAGCTGGAAAAAAAAATTAGTGTCTGAGCTATGTAAGAGCTCACCTTATGATTTTGCGTATTGGTGTAATTACCTTAAAATTACTTTTCATCAACACTGATAAAAAAAGAAGTATCAAACTTTTGATGTCTCCTTTCAGGAGGAAAAAATTGATGCACATTTGAAAGGATTATAATTAGGTACAGCTGGTACCTTGTAGATAGCAGGCATCCTGTTGGATTTCTCTACATATTTACTTTTTGTATCTTAATATTCAGGTTTCCTTCTCGGTCAATTATGAGATGAATCAGTCGGAGGCGCAGATTCAGACTGATGTAAGTTGCGTTTCCCTTCAACTTGCCAATATAATGATTTACTTCTCTTTTGTGCTTTTAAAAAGTTCTGCAAATTATTTTTGCATTCCTTTCAGATCACGCTGGGTGTGCTGGGTGGGCTCGCAGTGTTATGGTCCCTTCTCAAGACTGCAGGCTGGAAGAGGCGCACGGGAAGCTCCATCATTGACTTGCAGGTATAAACAGCTGGCAACCTAGAAAGGGACCCATCTCCCTCCCTTGAAGGAGACCTTTGCTATCATTCCCCGTGGTGTAACTGTTCTAATTTCTAACCTACCTGCATAGAACCGTGACCTGGAGTTAGGCTTGCTTGAGCAAGTAGGGTTTTTTTCCATTTTTTTGGATTCTGATGTTGTCATTTAGGAAACACTTTTACTAAAAGGTATTTAGAATATAGGTATTTAGAAAATAAAGGTATTTAGAAAGCTGTTCTGATCAGCTGAGTGGTCTTAGTTTTCAGATTAATTCTTCTTTGAACAAAGCCTACCATATAGGAGTTTCAGATACTGAATATACCATAAATATATGACCACAGTAGAAAAGTTTTGTTTGAGGCTACTTTCAGTTCTGCAATTTCCTGTAGTGTGAGCTGCATAACATTTTATATGAATGTACATTTGCATTACTTAATTAGTTTTACAGATCTCTACAGTGTGTTTTTATAATTGCAGACAGTTTTCAAGTTCTTACTGTTTTATGCTGGAGACCTTGCCAACGTCTTCTTTATCATCACAGTGGGCACAGGAATTTATTGGCTTGTGTTTTTCAAAGTAAGTGTTTTTCCAGACTTGGGTATTAGGAAAACCTACTTATATTGCATATATTTTTACACAAAAATTCATTTGCTTTGTTTTTTTCTTTTTTTTTTTTTTTTTTTTTTTTCTCCAACACTGGTTCATTCATTTCCTGAAGTTTCACTTCACCTTGTCTGGTTTTTCCGTCTGCAGCATGTTGTTATATGCACTCGGTGATGAGAATTAGCTTAAAATAATCTGTACCATAATTACTGACTTCAGACTTGTTTGTGTCTATAGGGAGATGTCCACGACAAAACAAAATAACAACAAAGAGGGAAAACTACCACGTTCTTCCATATTTGGACAGCCCAGATGTTATTTACAGCATTGTTTATGCAGCTTT